GTGCCTCACCCTTTTCAAGGGACACACCCCTGGCGGACTGGAGGCACCCCCCCCCCCCCCCTGTGCCTGCCCCTGCCTGCCAGCCTTGCTCGCGCCGCGCTGACTGCTCTTCCCCTCCCCCGCCCCCCGCCCCTTGCCTCGCCCAGCAGGCGACCGGACGGTCCTCTTCACCACGCACAAGGTCTCGCAGGCGCGGCAGGCGGACCACATCGTCGTGGTGTCGCACGGCGCCATCGTCGAGGAGGGGACGCACGACGCCCTCCTCCGCCGCAACGGCGCCTACGCGGAGCTCGTGCGCGTCGGCGATGGGCTGAGCGACGCAGAGACGTCAGAGGTGGTCGACTCGGCGCTGGGCGTGGCGGACGCTGCAGCGGCTGTGTGAGTGGGCAGTGAGGGCCGAGACTGAGGACCAGAGAAGGAGAGCCGTACTGTACCGCGGCGGGATCTCGGGGTCGCATGTGTGGGCATGTTCTTCTGAGGTACGCTCAAACTTTACTGAGACCGAGCCGCATAAAGTGCATAGTAAGAGCCGTACACCGAAAACAAAGATGTTCCATCGTGTATAGCCGCCAATTCCGCCTTGATTCCTAAATTTGGGACGCTGCGGCCGCCCGCGATCAACCTTTCCATAAACGATGAAAAACGGCGGGGGGGCGGCTCGTCCCGCTCCTAAATAAGTCCAACAAGCACCTGTCTGTGGCGGCTCGCTGATGCTGCGTAACCTGGCGATGAGCCTGCTGGCCCTGCACATCGCGACGCCTGCGCTAGCCGATAACGGCGCCTCGGGCCGCCTGCGGGCGGACCTCCTCGTCTCATACGACAAAGGAGCATATCCGTGGGAATTTGCTTGGGAAGCGGCGCTGGCCGACGGGGGGGAGCGGTCGGGCTTGAAGGTGGAAATGGGCATCAACTTCCACCGGGTGCACTCTGTGGACGTAGTCAACCACGCCACCGACTTAATCGTGTGGTACCGGCTGCGGTGGCATGACCCGCGGCTGGCGTGGAACGCCTCGCAGTACGGTGGCCTCGCAACGCTGCAACTGTGGGTCGGCGACGGCGCCTCGTCCGACGTCTCGTCCGACATTTGGACGCCCGACATGACCCTGTGGAACCAGGGCGAGTCGATGCAGACCTCGCTCTCCAACGCCTTCGCGAGTGTATCGAGCGACGGCACCGTCTTCTGGTCACGGCCCGGCCACCTCCGCCCCACTTGCAAGTTCGTAGGACTCGACCGCTTCCCGTTCGACGAGCTGGGATGCACGATGGAGTTTGGCAGCTGGAGCTTCAGGCCGACCAACCTCGAGGAGTACAGAGAGATACGGCGATTGCCTCACGATGCGGTTGTGTGAGTAGCGGCCTCTACCTCCGCCCCGTCAAGATGGGCGACGGCTTCAGCATTGGAGGCTCCGAGACCGCGGGCGAGTCCTTCCAGGAGTTTTCGCTCGAGGGCGTCGAATGCCGCGATAAAGTCTACCCGCCTTACCCCGGCGACCCAGAGAACGACTGGCCTGTCCTCCTCTACGAGGTGCCGCACACGCGCACACGCATGGGCATGGGGAATGGGGCCGGAGAGCGAGAAGCCACTGCTAGTCCACTGCACACCTCGGCAAGCACGACTGGCGCGCACGCACTCTCTCTCTCGCGTGCTCTGCAGGTCGTGTTCAAGCGGGCTTGGCAGCCGTACACCCGCGGCTACATCGCGTTGAACGCGCGGCGCAAAGCGCCCGACAGCCATGCACCGCTGGGCATCCAAACACACACTCTCCCCACCGCTCAGGTGGTGCTCAACTTCATCGGCTTCCTCTGCTTCAGCGTCCCGCCCCAGTGCGGCGAGCGGCTCGGCCTCGGCATCACGGCGCTGTTCTCTCCTGCCGTGCGGTGCGTGGTGCGGAGGGGCATCCTCGAGCTTTTTCAGAACCAATCCTAGGCGCTGCTCGCCGCCGTGGCGTCCGACTTTGTCATCAACGGCAAGCTCCCGGCTGCATCCGAAATGACATGGTCCGCGCCATGCCAAGCGTCTCTCGCTCCTGGCAAGACCCTCAGACCCTTACCTTTCTCGGACCCTGCTATGCTAGGTTTGCACAGTTCTCCGCCTTCAGGTGTGCACGCCGCGGGGACCGCCTTCCAGGGTGTTTAGCTCCCAAACTCACCCACCGCACCCCCTGCTCCAGCCTCGCCTACGCCACGTTGGTGCTCGCCGAATCATGCATCGTCATCAGCCTCTACCACAAGACCTCCAAGTCGCTCCTGCCACCCTTTCTGCGCTGGGCGAGCCGATGCGCGGCGGCAGTGGCAGGTCAAAAAGCAGAGGCCCCACCCCGCGCAGTTAGCAAAGCCGGCGACAGTGTCCCGGAGCTTTCGCAGCGCGATGCCAACGACAGTTACGAGATCAAGCCTGACGAGGCCGAGATCAAGCGTTACGAGGCCGAGATCAAGCGCATCAACGGTAAGTGGCAGCGGATCGCCTTCGCCATCGACGAGGTGTCGCGGTGGGTGGTGCCCCTATCGTACGCCGTCGGACTCGCCTGCCTGCTCGGCGGGGTCTAGAAGCCCGCTAGTAGTCGCTCGGCCAGCCGCTCCCTCGGCCTCCACCCTCTCGGAGATTTGTCCTTGTGGTCCAGCGCGGGCGCTCTCGCACACTCCCCCCCCCCCCACACACACACACAGAGACTCTGAGGGACGTCTCGGACGATGGGAGACCGGCACAGATCGCCACCACACATGGGTTTGTCTCCTCCGTTGCCACACAGGGATTTCAAAGGGAAAAGGATGTGCGTCACTACGTGCATCACCGTGTTTGTAGGATGTAGTCTCGCGTTTGTGCGCCGTTTGTGCCGCGTCCCGTGCCCCCGAGTTCATTTTAACAAGAAAAGGATGTAGGTGCCGTATCCCAGAAAGAAGGGGAGACCTCGTCGTCATCGTCGGCCTGGCGAAGCAGCCGCAGTTCAACGGCCGGCGGGGGACGGTCATCGGCGGCTTCGAGCCGGAAGGCGGCCGCTACCCTGTGGAGGTCGAGCTGCTGGCCGGAGAGGTGAAGCGGTTGAAGATCAAGATGAACAACCTGCGCTTCCGGTCGAGGGAGGAGGACGAGGGCGGAGCCGATGCCGGCGGCGACGACATGCTTGCCGGGACGCCAAGTGCTCCGCCCGCCGGCGGCAACGCGAGTGCGGGCGGCGGTGGCGGCGGCGCTGCTGCCGCCGTGCCAGCAGGTGGCCCTGCTGCTCCTGGCGGCGCTGCTACCGCTGGCAGCGCTGCCACCGCTGGCGGCGCTACCATCCATGCCGTCGCCTTTCCCGGCGGCGGCGCTGTCGTGGGCGGCGAGTTTGGCCCAGCTGTCATGCAGCAGCTGTTGCAGCAGATGCCGGGGCCAAACGCGTTCGTGCCGCCGCCCGGCCTGGCGGAGGCGGTGTCACAGCGCATGACGCAGCGTATGGCCGGACACCAGGGGCAGCTGAGTGCGGAAACCGTGGTCACGCAGATGGCTGCGGTTCTCGAAGAGATGCGGATCCTCCCACCGCCCGATGGAACGTGAGCGTCCGTTGCGACTGGCCTGAAGGAAGGCGAAGCTGTCGTGACCGCCGCAGGTAGGCGCCTCGTCGTTAGCAGCTCCTCGCACTTGCCGCATCCGATCCTGTCTACTACGTCGCGACGCACTCCCTCGCCCCTTCGCATGGGGGCGTGATGTGTACTCTCGGCCCAGCACTCTTGCGCGCCGCTCGCAACTGTCGCTTTCTGGCATGCACTCTGGTGTCTCGTCAATGTTGACCTGTCATGTCTGCTTCGGCTCTACGTTCTCTCTCTAACCTGCTCTCGCGGTCCGGACTGTCTGTGTTTGTACTGTGTTGTGTTATATGTTCGAGGGACGAGAGCTTCGACGCCCCCGACGATGACGTGTATCGATATGTGTACACGAGCTACGAGCAACGTTTACGGAAGTTCCGAACGTCGTTGGCAACGAGGGGACCGTGTGGTGTGGTGTCTCGTCCGTGTGTGTGGGTATCGTATGGTAAATAATTAGTTTAATACGGCTGCGCGTGATGTCGCTTGTCCCGATAGCGATACGCGATAGGAAGAGTGAACGGAAACATTATCCTCGAGAACATATATGTCTTCATGCCTTGTTGTGCGCCTCTCTCAGCTCTCGCCTCTCGCTGGGGTCGCACTGGGTGGGGAGAGTCGGACTCTCCCCGTCGCGCGTGTGCGTGTACCGTAGCAGCGTATCTCGTCTCTCGAGAGAGGCGGCAGAGACATGGCCCCCTAGGCAATCTGTGCCTCAGGAGGACCTGCGGCAGCTGCGGCTGCGCGACGTGCTGCCGTCACTAGCGCTCAGACCTTGCCGGCTGCTCGCGCACTCCGCACCCCGCCCTCCCTACCGTCGGCGGTCGTCGCGCCGGTCGTCGTAGCGGTCCTCCTCCCTCCGGTCGTAGTCCCTCTCCCGCCTACAAAGTGCGAGGCGCGCCGCCGCGTCTAAAGGACGAGGGCGTGGGGAGAGGTCGAGGCCGACCCCGCGGTGGCCGCGCCGGTCGCGCCGGTCGCGATCGCCATCGCGATCCCTCCGATCGCGCCGTCCCTCGTCGCGGTCGTCCCGCTCCCGGCGCCGCCTACTCCGGGCTCGAGGTACTGTCGGCGGGGCGAGGGCGCGGGGCTCGCCGCCGCCACGCCCCGGCGCCTCTTGTCTCTGTCGCGCTCTCTGTCGCGGTCTCGGTCGCGGTCTCTGTCTCGGTCGCGGCTCGAGGAGCGATCGCGCCGCCTCCGCTCCCCGCCCTCCTTGCCCCGCCCCGCCGGCTCCGCGCCATTCGCCTCCCCGCCGCCCGCGCCGCCGCCCGGGCTAGCGTCGCTGCT